CATTAGTGAAGGTCCCCAAGGTGGTGGTGATGCACAGCTTTCATTAGTGAAGGTCCCCAAGGTGTGGAGGGAACACAGCTCTCCTGACAGCTGGTCCCAAACCCTTTCCTCCCTGTTGTCTACCCTCCTTGCAGGACTTCTTAGTGTGGCAGCTCCAACAAGCTGTCTTATTCTGCCTATTCCCCCAAAAGACTGACTGCCTTAATAATTACATGCTAGTTTTGCTCCGGGACATTTACATATGACAGCAAGGAGAGAGCCTCAGAGGAGGCCCTGCAGGTCTTGGGCTCAGGATTTGGGGCTCTGCAGGACCTTGGCCTGGCTGCCCCTTCCTCTCCAAGACTTTCAGGTAGTCTTCTGTGCAAATAGCTTCTGCACCTCCCCTGCCCCCATGCCCCCTTCTTCTGAGTCACTAAACACCCTCCACTCTCCCCTTAGGGCCCCTGGACTCACAAGAATACGGGCATTCTCCTAGCTAACCTGCTGACCTTGGGCGCCACAGATCAGTTCCGGAATGGAATAGAAACAGAAACCACCCAGCTCTGATTTACATAAACCAGGAAGCACACTCTCCTGCCCTAGTTGGGTAGCGATTTGTGGAGCAAGACTTTACTGGGATTGCAGAAGATTAAAAGTCACGCCCACTTTGGCCCAAAGAAAATTAAGATTGTTGGTTGATATAAACGCAAATTGAAGGTGCTTATGGGCGCCTGACGGGAGGCTAGCGAGCTGCATCTGCCTTTGGGATTCTCTGGTGCCAGGCTGTGAGAATGCAGACCCCGCGGCTGGCTATGTCCATGTAGTGAAGTGGGATGTGCAGTGGGTCACAGTCCATCCATCATCTACCCGGATTTCKCCTGTGGGTACCGATTTTAGCTTCKCCCATCTCCTCCCTCTGGGGGMYRGCCTTTGGGTTCTAGGATCAGAAAACACTTCCTAGGGCTCCTTGCCCGCCAGGATTCAAATTCCCGCCTCAGCGTGGTACTGATTCCTCCAGATTACAGGGTGGAGGGGACCAATTCCAAGAAAAATCCTCTCAACGGACCACAAGGGGGCGCCGCTACGGTGCTCTTGGATCCTCCCTGAGCAGCCAAGGAGAGGGCTGGGTGACAGAGGGTAATGAGGAAGTTTCTGAGCACCTTGAACTGCACAGGTGTCCAGGTCCTGGATGTAGCAGAGACTGAAGGAGAGGAGAGCTCATGAGGCCTTGTGCCCTGCCTGAGGGAATTGTCTCCTCTCTGCCACCCCTTCCACCAGCCCCTGACAGCAACATCCCAGAAAGCAGAAAAGTAGAACTTTTTTCCTCTGCTCCTATGCTTTCCAGTGCTCCTTCTTTATTTTACATTTAAGTGGTTCTGAGGATCGAACCCAGTACCTCATGCATGCTAGGCGAGCACTCTTCCACTGAGCCACATCCCCAGCCTCCAGTGCTCCTTCTTAATGCAGCAAGTATGAYAGTATTTGCATAACTTTTTCTCAGGTGAGATACATGAAAAATTGATGACATGTTCATCTGTGGCAAGGTCCCTGAAACCCTGGGGCCTGCGGGCTGAATAAAATTTCCCAAAGGCTAGGGATATAGCTCAGTTGGTAGACTGCTTGCTTTGCATGCACAAGGCCCTGGGTTCAATCCCCAGCACCACAAAAAAAGAAAGAAAAGAAAGGTGAATAAAATTTCCCCTGTAATTTCTCTGGAAATTCTTGAAGGATCTTTCAAAGGACATTACCTAAACATCTCTGTCATTTGCAAGAACTTATCTCAAAAAAATTGCAGATTGAATGGATGAATAAATGTCCACAGAGACTGACACACGTGTTCACACATACACCCCCTCCACTATGGTTTGATATAGGCCTGCATGTCACCCACAGGTCCCTATATGAAGGCTTGATCCTCAGCACAGTGGTATTACAGATGCTGTGAACTTTAAGGGTTGAGGCCCAGTGGAAGGCCCTTAAGGCACAGAGGTTTTGGGGGCATGGTCTCTAGTCTCTTTCTGCTTCCTAGATAGTGCTGTCACAGGTTAGCTCTGGCACATGCTCACACAAAGGCAGGCCACCATCCACTGTCCTACCAGTACTTAGCTGATACAGGTACAGGCTTTGGACTCTCCAAACTGTGCCTTGAATAAAACATTCCATGTATAAATTAGTTGCCTCAGGTATTGAACTGTAGTACTATGAAGCTGACAAACACTAACACACCCTCAACTGAGGCATTCTCAAAACATGCACTTTTTTCTCCTACATTCTTTTTTTTTTTTTTGTACTAACACTCAAATCAAGTGATACTGTACCACTGAGCTACATTGTCTTTTAAATTTCAATTTTGAGACAGTGTCTCACTAAGTTGCACAGGCTGGCCTTGAACTTGCCATCATCTTGTCTCTGGGTGTAGAGTAGTTGGGTTTATAGCCATGCGCCACCATATGGCTCACACACATTTTGGGGGATGAAGGGGTAACAGAGATTCAACTCAGGGACACTCAATCACTGAGCCAGACAGGGTCTCACTGAGTTGCTTAGTGCCTCGCCATTGCTGAGGCTGACTTTGAGCTCAGGATCATCCTGTCTCAGCCTCAGGAGCCACTAGGATTATAGGCATGTGCCACCACTCCCCGAGAAACTTAATTTTTGTCCAGCATTGTATTGTGAATATTTCCCATGTTGTTAGGAAGTCTTAAATTAAATTATATCCAAATTAGATGAAAAAGATCAAGATTTCAAGCTTTGAAAGCATAATACAATGGTGACCATAGGCCTAATTGGTTCAACATTTTCTTATATTTCTTTAGGATGTAAGAATAATTTATTTCAGTTGTATAATTTCTTATGTCCCTCTCTGAGGATCCCATATAAACTTGCAGCCCCAGTCCATTAGGGACCACAGCCAGGACATGAGAAAAGTAGAAACATCTCTTCCACTCCTTATTTCTCACTTTTTGGAAAATATTTTTTGGAAACACCCTATTCACTAAGGTTTTTAAAGCAAAATGATCCCTTACTTAGGAACAGCAACTCACTGCCCACCAAATACCCACAAGAGTATGAATATGGACGCTGAGAATATCAGGACAAGGTCACAGCCCCTCTTTTCCCTGGGCCTCTGTCCCCCTCAGCAGGACAGAACAGGGCTCTGTGTCTGTATTGCACCTCCAAAGGCAGGGGTCAGCACACCCGAGCCTAGGGGTGAGCACCCAACTCTCCTCAGTTGAGGAATAAATCATGCACAGACTAGCCAATCTTCACCTCAGATGCTCCACCTAATAATCAGGGGGCAAGAAAGGTTCCAAGTGGCATTAAGACCCTACAATGCACATCTCATTTCCATCTTCAGAGAAAAGGCCCAGACCCACCTGCTCCCATACCTGGCCCTCTCCCAGCCCACCTCACATGCCATGGTGTGAGCATGAATCCCCCAGGACTAACCTCATGTGTCTTTTCCCTGTTTGGCTAGCCATGGTAGGTCCCCTCCAATGTCCTGCATTGTCATCCTCCCGAGGATCTGTATATCCCTGTCTCCTCTCATGCCCTCTCCCCAAAACTGGAATCTCCCATGGCACCTTCTGAATCTCAGATCATGAAAAACAAACCTCCAAAGACCTCTTAAGATGTCCTCACCTCCAAGCTCTAACAGAAACTGGGTCTCCTAGAGGATACAGGCCCTCTGAAGTCCCCTCCCTTGGGGGTTTCTCTGGGGGTCAGCAGCTGGGATGAACAAGTGCTCCACACTGAGGTTCTCAGATCATCTGCTACCCCTTCCCAATATCTGCTAACCTGCATAAGATGGGAGCCCCCAACTCTCTCATGGTAGGCACTCCCAGGGACCCCATCTCAGCACTCTTGGCTCCTCCCTGTCTGTCACCTTCTCAGAAGTGCTGTCTCCTGCTCCTCACTGATTTCAATGCAAGAAGAAGTGGGGACTGAAAAATTTTTCCAAAGATGCCCAGGCCCTAATCCTTGGAAGAGTGAAGACTTTGTATCATATGGAAGAAAGGACATTATTGATGTAACTAAGGTGAACATCGGGGAGATTGTCCTGGGTAGACCAATCAAATCACAGTAAAATTCCAAGCTGAGATACTCCTCTGCCTGGAGTCTGAGAGATGCTACAGGAAAGGCAGGTGGAGGAGATGCAGCAGAGAGGACATCAGAGGTTCTAGTGGAAGAAGCATGACACCTGCTGTAGTGGGCACATATGAGGACCTGGGAGAGGGCTCCAGGAGCTAAAAGTGGCTCTCTCATGACAGTCAGCAAGGAGATAGGGACTGAATTCTCAAAACAACCATACTGATCCTTGAAGCAGTTTCCTCACCAGAGCCTCTAGTAAGGAACAAAGACCAGCTGACACCTTGACCTTAGCCCTGTGAACCTCATGGGGGACTTGGAACCTATGTAACTGTGAGGTCACAAATGGAGCTAGATAAAACCACTTGAGTTATGGTATTTTCTGTGGTTCTGTGACCTCTGTGAAGACAGGAAAAACTGATTTCCACCCCTCAGCAGGTGGATATGACTTAGATGCTCAAGAAGACAATGGAGGATGGAATACAGAGGCTGAGGGAAGAGGGCGTGTGGAATGCAGAGATTCTGTGAGGCCACAAGACCCACCAGAGAGTTGAATTCTTATATCTCAACCTGTCCAAAAGTCAACTTGAAATGGAAATAAGGCCCAAGAATTACAACAACAACTTTGCAATTTCTAGAAGAAAACATAAGGTCAAACTCCTCCCTATAAGCAAAGAGAATGATTTCCTCTATAGGATTCCTAAAGCTCAGGAAACCACACCAAGAACTAGTACAAGAGATGGCATCAAAGTAAGAAGGTTCTGCACAGCAACAGAAATCATTAAGACCATGAAGAGAGAACCTACAGAATGAGAGAAAAATTTTGCCAGATACCCTTCCAACAAGATAAGTATTCCAAATATATAAAGAAATAAAAATGCAGATGCCACTGCCCTGCTGGGAGTTTCTACTCTGGGCTCGCCCTCTGTTACCTCGGACGTGAATTCCAGCACTAGCTCCATGGTCCCTGTGGCTGAACTGGAAGTCTCCTGTCAATCAACCACTGCCAGCACTGCTACCATCATTGCTGCTGCCTCTGATTCCACTGCTACCAGCCTGAGATCTCCTGGCAGTCTTTTTTTCTGGGTGCTACTGCCACAGAAGAAACTACTGCCTTAGATGCAACTGAAGCCAACACTGCTGCTGACACCCAGAGATGGCCTGGAGACTATGCCCCCATGCTGCAGTTGTAGCTGCCAGTGCAGCCACTGCTACTGCTGACCTGCTGCCTGCTGCCAACAAGCACTGCCACTACCGCTGCTACCACAGCCTAGAGGACTGCTTTGGAGGAGACTCCAGGTTTGGTTGCACATGGCTGCACCCATGTTGGGGACACCAGCCAGGCCCGGGGGCCTGGGTGCCAGCAGGTTTACCACCACAAGAGCCTCTGTCTGGGGACTCCAGCTGGTACCTGCAGGTCCAGTGTAGGGGTGCCTGCAGGTTTGGAGGAGCCTGGAGTCTTCCTACTGAGAGTGCTGGTGGCCATTATTTTGCTGATGCTGCATCTTGGCATTACTCCTTTGCATGAGTTTATCCTGGTGGTCTCTCTGCAAATCAATAAACCAAATTATAAATTTAATAGAAATTTAATAGAGCAGCATTGAGCTCTTGGGACTGCAGTATGGCCAATCCTGAAGTATCTAAAGCCCAGATTGGTGGAACAGAGACTTGGGTTTCAAGGCCTGATCTGGGTTTGGTGATCCCAAAAGATATCAGAGACAGGGCTGAGAAACTGTTGAACACTGACAGAGACAGTTTGACTTTCCAGCAAGACTTATTTTATTTTATGTTATTTTCTGATTCACTAACCTTTCTACCATATTTGTAACAGAATTTTTTTTTATGCATCAGTGTGTGGAGAACAATGATATATGATTGGGGTTTTGCATTTTTGATGTATTCTTATGTCTTTAATTATTTCTCTTTGTTCATATTCTTCTTCTCTCTTGCCTATTTTCTTTCCATCTTTTCTCCAACCATCAGCCAATCTCTGTCAGCTACTCTTCCAGTCTTCCTGTGAAATTTTACTTTTAGCTTCTATCTTCCTCTTTCATAAATACTGCATAGTACACTACCTCTGTTCTCTCATTCACCATTTAAATCATAAATCATTTTAACAAATATTCTGTTATACTATAGATAGTTATTGAACTCATCATTTTGGTTCAATGTGAGAAAGAAGAAGATGCCTTAGTGGGAGCTATTAGGTTTAAGGCTATATGTTGTGTTCATTGGGTGCAAAGTGCTGGAAACCTCAGGGACACTATATAGCTACAGGATAGAATGAATCCTGCCTTAGATCCTTACTTTTAGATGGGAAAACACACTAAAAACATGAAAAAACAAGGGACCAAAGCATCCCAAAGAAACCAAGATGCCCCAACAATAGAAGCCACTGATAACACAGTAGAAGAAATGTCCAATAAGGAGCTCCAATTGTATATAGTTAAACTGATATGTGAAGTAAAGGATAGTATAAAGAGAGAAATCAAAGAAAAATATAAGAAGTGAAAGACCAATAAAGAGGTAGAGATCATGGGGGGGGAAGCAGAAATCCTCAGTAAACCAAATTATAAATTCAATAGAAAGCATCACCAACAGATTAGACCAGTTGGAAGACAGAACCCCAGACAATGAAGCCAAATATACATGAAGATATGGAAGTGAAGAAAGTAAATGTTCAGCAAATTATAGGACAAAATAAGATCTTGCTGTATATCAAATAGAATTTTCCTTAGAAAAAATGTGGTTGGGAATAATAATCAAAAACAGACTCTGAGATGTATGAAAATCATAATTTAAGCAAGATCAATAAAATAAGTCTTCAATTAGGCAAATTATAGATTTAAGAATACTAGGGGGCTGGGGTTGTGGCTCAGTGGTAGAACACTTGCCTAGCATGTGTGAGGCACTTGGTTTGATCCTCAGCACCACATATAAATGAAATGAATAAAACAAAGGTCCATCAATGTCTAAAAAATATTTATAAAAAGAGATTTTAAAAAGGAATACTAGGAACAAGAAAATTTACAACAATTGGAAGAATAATATGTTTATAAAAACAAATCATAAATGTATTATTTATTATTCAATACCAGTAATAGAAACAAGAATAAATTCTATTGTATCCTTAAACTGTGCCAAAGTAATCAAAGTAGAATTTGATTCCCAGCTAACCTATCATCAAGGGTGTCTGAAATACAAACATACTTACATGAATACATAGGGCATACACTGAAAGGCTTGATTTCATAAGTAATGAGTAACTGCTAGGGTATGTTAAAACAAGGTAAAGTCCTATTTTAAAATTGATATGTGTGTGTTCAAAGAAAACTCAAAAAGATAGATCTATAATACTACAATAACATTTACACAGTAAAAGTTTAGAGGATTAAAACATTTTAAGGTTGTTCAGTTACTGGGAAAAAAAGAGGTGCTGGATAAATTTATTCTTAACATTTTATTTCCATAATTCAGTTGTGTGAAACCACAATAGGAAATAAAACATATCAATAGATGGAAGAAATGAAGTAACATTAAGGAAGGGTAGAAACATTGATCAATAGAGTAGCATGCAGGGAAGGATTAATTGAAAAAGCTAATGTATAATAAAGTCTTACCTAGGATTGTACACAGCCTCTTCAGTTACTGCCATTTGCATCATGCATCCAGGACTTTGAACTCTCCTTCTGCCAAATGTTAACTGGGTGAATTCTCTGAATCTCAGTTTCTTCTATCAAATAAGAATAATACTACTTATCTTAAAGGTTTGTTTTCAGAACCCGCAATGAAAGTAGGGCTTTACCATAATCCCTTACTTTGCATCCTTGGCTTATAGTTTTAACACCACTTCTTTTTTTTTCTTTTTCTTTTTTTGTAATTCTTAGTGAAACAGCATTTAACATTACCACTCAAATTTTGTGTCAAAATACATTTTTAAACTACTAGCATATTAGAATTTTGTTATCTATGACTTCCTTTATTTTGCCAGATCCTTTCTGCCAGGATTGGCAATGCAAAATAGGCTGCATGGGATTCAGAATGAAGTGAGTGGAATAGACAAGTGATAATTTACCTTTCCTACCATGTCCTCTTATTCCCTATTTTTCTGCCTCCATTGATAGTACATATTTTGAATCTTCTGAAGTTCACATTCTCCATATATTTGGTGTTTGGACAAATGGAAATAGGATGATCACTCCAAAAAGTATTTAGACTCAAACACAATTCACATTACACATTGGTAAAATAAGTTGCTTCCTCTTAAGTCTATGGATCACTATAGTTTTAATGACTTACAATTSAACATAACTCTACCAATGCCCTAAACTTTAATTTTCAATGCATTCAATGAACTAATAATGTATCTGATAAGGGGTTAAGTGCAAAAATTGTTTTCTTGATGCACATACACTTGAAATTTTATCCATCCACTTGTTTTTATATTTTCATCTCCTCCTCCATATCTCATACTTCCTGACATAAGGAATACACACTTTTTGGATTACAAAATTTTCACACAGGAAGTTGCAAGGATGATGGCCTTTAACCTATAAAATCTTGGCAAAATATAATTAAGAAGTACCAATGTTTCAAAATGAATAAATCATGAAGAAAATTCAGCAAAAAATAACTATTATTTAATTTTCAGTTGCTTTTAGGACACCATTAGAAACTGCACAAATATAGGGCCTGCTATTTTTTTAAGGCCACAACAGCTAGCCAAAGTGGAATCCCTTCCTGGGATGCACAGTGCTAGTGGGTTTCATTGCTGGTGAAAAAGCATCATCTCATGATTTTTGTCTTTCCTTCCTTCCAACTGAAAATTTAATCATGATACTGAAAAAAGGAAGGCATGGAGAGAAGGAAGGGAGTTACAAAAGCAAGAACGCATATCACACACTACAGTGCTGCTATTTGAAAAGAGTCACATAGATTTGTGCATCAGATAGCCCTGAAGATGACAGTGTCCTTGTCCAACTCAGTGTATTGMATTTCTAAACTACATTTCAGATAGAAGAATGACCTGGCTGACAGCAATGTCCTGCAAAAGGTGCCAGATGGGCTGACCCTAGCCAGAGCTGAACTGGAGATGCTGACTGAGAACCTGACGGAAGAGTTGGCCTATCTGAAGTAGAATCAATCATGAGGAGGCCAAAATTTGATTTTTTTCCTCCCAGACCTCAAAATTAAAACATCAGGTTTGCAAATCTGGAGTTAAAACATGACCTGTGTAAGTGGCCATTTGTTTTGGATGTGCCCGTGCATGTACATTGCTGCTATTGCTGTTTATAATGGTTCTTACTAAGGTTTAATTAATCAGAGACACATTCTGATTTTGTCATTTTCATTATAAGTAATAAATTAGGTAATAAGAATTTTAACTCTCTTGATTTAGTGATTGTGAATATATATATATATATATATATATATATATATATATATATATATTATTTCAAAAGTTAGAAAATAAGGAAGTCTACCAATAATATAAAATGCTATCTGTGCCACACATGGCACTCTGATGGACCGCCATGTATACCAGTGACTGGTGTACAGAATAGACACTGGCAGTAAGTTTTTACTCAATTTTCAGTGATTCTACCAATTCTCCAGGATTAGACACTTCTTGTAGCCCTTGACTTAACAGCTGTAGATGAAATCTCTCTAGCAACTTGCATACCAAGCCTCCCCTTCCTGTACAGACAGGACAGTGGATTCTCTAGAAGGAGGGTTAACCAATCCCTTAGACAGAGCATATAGAGTCCATGGTCACTTCAATATCCTGTGAAAATATCTTTAGTATTATTTTGTTGTTGTTGTTGTTGTTGTTGTTTGATTTAGTGTGCCCAAGAACATTTACTTTCATTTGTTTTAATTAGTTATATGTGAAAGTGGAATTCATTTTGACACATCATACTTAAATGGAGTACAAATTCTCATTCTTCTGGCTGCACATGAT